GACATGTCACAATTGAACTCCCTCTTTTTCCAAGTGCTTGCTGGCTAATCCAGTGGGATGGGAGCCCTTAAAGTGGCTTGTTTCAAGCTTTTTCATTTCTCTAATCCCTAGGGATGGGGAGGAGCATCCATTCTCCACACACACATTCTCATCAGCAGCTGGGAACACAAAACAACCCACTAAATTGGGGAAAACCTTTGCGGAAAACTGGCTGTTGCTTCACCCAGTGGTATCTCCAACAGCAAGCTGAAGTTTCTGGGAATTTTTTTAAGGCATCATTATCAAACCTCACCAGAAGGAGGGAAGAATTTGTGTTACCACTGTGGTAATCCTAAGTAGGATCTGGCTTGGTCGACCCACTCCAAGCCGATTGGCCCCATTACAGCGGCATCAACCTCAGAGCAATTGCTCAGGTAACACAAAGAGAGAAGCAGCCCTTCCAGGGATATTTTTGGGAGCCACCCATGAGGCACACAGCTTTTGGCCAATAGGGAACACTTTCAGCCTACCCAAATACTAACCAGGTCACGGCTCTTCTTGTCAACAGCAGAACCTACAACACACAACAGACATGGGATTTAGCTCACCACATTCCACAACAAGGCATTGCCCTCCCAGACTTCACATCAATCTTTCCTGACACAATTCCCCCTTCCCACCTTGCTGGAAATGAGCCTTTGGCATGCTTATCTCTCTGGAAGAGCCTGGGATGCAGCTTACCCTGGGCTGGCACAGGTGTTCGAGGTTTTTCGCTCTCAGCTTGGACTGGAAAGGACAAACGCTCGGGAAGGGTCACATCTGCAATGACATGGGACAAAAATACAGGGGGTGGTCCTAACGTGTGTATAGTCTGAGCTTAAAAGCTTCCACTGCTGGAAAGTGGGACATACAGGCTGCCCAGAGAAGCTGTGGCTGCCCCAGCCCTGGAAGTGTTCAGGGCCAGGCTGGACAGGGCTTGGAGCAACCTGGGCTATTGGAAGCTGTCCCTGCCCATGGCAGGGGGTGGAAGAAGATGAGCTTTAAGGTCCCTTCTCACCCAAACCATTCCGGGATTTGATGATTCTCCCAACAGCTCTGCATGCTCACCTCTACCAGGATAATAAAAATCAGGACTTCACAGACTATTGCCCACGACAAGACGGATCCCAGCTGCCACCCACCATGCTCCTGTTTGCCAAAAAAAATCCCCCACACTCTTGGCACTAACTTTTATGCTGCTTTTCTCCTCGCAGCTCCAGCTCCACGGGCCGCAGGTCCAGCAGCTGCGGCGCCGCCGGCGGGGACTGGCACTCCTGGACCAGCATGTCCGCCAGGTCACCCTGCCCTGTGTCCCGCAGGATGGAGAGGAACATGGGGAAAGCCTGCTTCCCTCGAGTCTCCAGGTCGATGATCAGCTGCCGGGCTTGGTCTCCTCGGCTGCCGGCGCTCTGCAGAGGAGGGAAGCCCAGGAAAACACATGTTCACGCAACACCCGGGCAGCCCTTCCGACTGGTCCCAGGGAGGGGAAATGTGGGATCTGCACCCAGCACGTGGACACAGGGTGAACAAGATCAAAACCCAGTGGACACAGTCACACAGACCCAGCCCTGACCCCCCTCCACCCACAACCATCACCGTGGGGACATGCAGCCCTCCGTGGGGTCTGGAGGCAAACGGGGGAGGGAGCACTCCCAGCCTGGCCCCAGGGGACAAACAGGCACCTCCAGGCTGTCACTGGTGGGCAGGACAGGGTAAAACACCCCCAGGGGACAAACAGGCACCTCCAGGCTGTCACTGGTGGGTAGGACAGGGTAAAACACCCCCAGGGGACAAAAAGGCACCTCCAGGCTGTCACTGGTGGGCAGGCCAGGGTATAACACCCCCAGGGGACAAACAGGCATCTCCAGGCTGTCACTGGCGGGCAGGACAAGGTATAACACCCCCAGGCCTGCCACCTGTCACCGAGAGGGGAAATGGGAATGCCCTGTCACCAGATTGCGATGGGGACTCAAGGACGAACCCCCACGCCCGGCACTACCGGGGACCGTGGACAAGAAGGAACAAGGTGTGGGGGGTTCTCTGCAGGGCTCGGGGTGGGGAGGGACGAGGACCACTCAGCAGGCTTGTCACCAGAGTGAGGGGACACAGGGCCTGTCATGGGGGCGAGATGACAAAAGGGCCACCCCCAGGACTGTCACCGGGGTTCAGGGCACACAGGAACCACTTCCCATGGCCACCGCCGGTGTTCGGCCACCCGGAGCCCTCCCACGGCCACCGCCGGTGCTCAGTGGCCCGGATCCCTCCCCGGCCCACCTGCAGCTCCTCCAGCATGGGCCGGGTGAAGATGCCGCGCCGCTCCAGCGGGTCCCAGAGCGGCTCCACCCGCAGCGCCGCCACCAGCCGGGCCCGCCCGCGCCGCAGCGCCCGCCGCTGCTGCTCCTCCATCCCCGGAACCGCCGCCCTGCCCCGGAACCGCCTCTCGCTGCCCGGAACAGAATCACACACTGGAACAGATCCGGGATGGTCCAGCACATGGCACGGGATTCCGCCCTTTTTTAATTTTTTTTTTAATTATTATTTTATTTTTATTTTTATTTTTTAATATCTCCAGGGATGGAGACTTCGCGCCCTCTCCGGGCGATCCCGTCACCCGCGCTGTGAAGTTCTTCCTCGCGTTCAGGTGGAACTTCCTGTGCGTCAGTATCGGACCATTCCCCTCTTGTCCCATTGCTGGACCCCCCGAGCAGAGCCTGGTCCATGCATCCCCTGCCCCCTCCCTGCAGACACTGACAGACATCGCTGAGGTCCCCTCTCAGTGTCTCTGGAGGCTGAACAGCCCCAGGTCTCTCAGTCTTTCCTGGTCACAGAGATGCTCCAGTCCCTTCGTCATCTCCACAGCCTCTGCTGGACCTGCTCCAGGAGCTCCACATCCCTCCTGTCCTGAGGAGCCCAGACCTGGACACAGCACTGCAGATGTGCCTCCCCAGGGCTGAGCAGAGAGACAAGATCTCCTCCCTGACCTGCTGCCAATGCTCTTCCTAAGGCACCTCAGGATCCCCCTGGCCTTCATGGCTCCCAGGACACACTGCTGGCTCAGGGACAGCTTGTTGTCCACCAGGTCCTTCTCCCAGGTCACTCTCAGCCTGTGCTGGTACTTGGGGTTATTCCTGCCCATGTACAGGACCCTCCACTTGCCCTTGTTGAGCCTCACTAGGATTCTCTCTGCCCAATTCTCCAGCCTGTCAGGTCCCACTGAAAGGCAGCACAGCCTTCAGATGTACCAGCCACTCCCTCCAGTTCTGTATCATCACCAAACCTGCTGAGGGTACATTCCCTGTTGATAAACAAGGTGAATAAGACTGGACCCAGTATTGATCCCTGGGGAAGGCCACTGACTACGGGCCTCCAACTGAACCCACTGATCACATCCCTCTGAACTCTGCCATTGATCCACCTCACTGCCATCCAACCCACATTCCCTAATAGACTGTCGTGGTTTTAAGCCCAGATGGAAATTAAGAACCGCTCAACATCCCCCCTCTCTCCTCACCCTGGTGAAATGGGGAGGAGAATCAACGTAAAACTTGTATGTTGAGGTAAGAACAGTTTAATAATTGAAAATAAAGTAAAATACAGTAACAATGGTAAATTATAATAACACTGATAATAAAAAGGGAAAAACAAATAATGCACAATGCAATTGCTTACCTCACAACCCACTGACCAATGCCAGACCCCCCTTCCCAAACCCAAATCAGCCCATTCCCAGTAACTTCCTCCCAGTTTATATACTGGGCATGATGTTCTATGGGGTGGAACATCCCTTTGGACAATTTGGGTCACCTGTCCCAGCTATGGTCCCTCCTATCTTCCTTTGTGAACCTCTTCACTGGCAAAGCATGAGACAAGAAAAAAGTCCTTGATTTCGGATAAACACAACTTAGCAAAAAACCAAAGCATCACAGAGCCAGAGAATATGCTGAGAGGGAAGGGACCCACAAGGATCATGGAGTCCAACCCTCAGCCCTGCACAGGCCCATCCCCAAGAGTCACACCCTGTGCCCCAGAGGATCATCCAAACCCTCCTGGAGCTCTGGCAGCCTTGGTGCTGTGCACTTAGTCTACTTAGCCTGGTCAGTGCCCAACCACCCTCTGGGGGAAGAACCTTCTCCTGAGATCCAACCTAAAGCTCCCCTGACCCAACTCCAGGCCATTCCCTGGGTGCTGTCCCTGCTCCCCCCAGAGCAGAGCTCAGTCATAGAATCATAGAATCATAGAATCAGCTGGGTTGGAAGGGACCTCCCAGATCATCAAGTCCAACCCTTGATCCACTACCACTGTGGTTACTAGACCATGGCACTAAGTGCCACATCCAGTGTCTTTTTAAAAATCTCCAGGGACGGAGAATCCACCACTTCCCTGGGCAGCCCATTCCAATGGCTGATCACCCTCTCTGTAAAGAAATTCTTTCTAATATCCAACCTAAACCTCCCCTGGCACAACTTGAGACCGAGCCCTCTTGTCTTGCTGATCGTTGGCTGGGAAAAGAGACCAACCCCCACCTGGCTCCCCCCTCCTGTCAGGGAGTTGCAGAGAGTGAGGAGGTCTCCCCTGAGCCTCCTCTTCTCCAGGCTGAACAGCCCCACCTCCCTCAGCCTCTCCTCACAGCACTTGTGCTCCAGTCCCTTCCCCAGCCTTGTTGCTCTCCTCTGGACCTGCTCCAGCCCCTCAATGTCCTTCCTGAACTGAGGGGCCCAGAACCGGACACAGTCCTGCCCCTCCTCAGCAAGCTGGAACTGCAGTGAGGTCTCCCCTCAGTCTCCTCCAGCCGAACACACCAAGCGCCCTCAGTGTCCTCGCACGCCACCATTATCGCCCCTAACGCACCACACACAGCGCCGGAGCGGCCCCAGCCGAGCTCGCCCTGCCCGGGCCGCCGCTCCGGGCCCGCGTCCCCGGAAGCCGCGGGGTCTCCATGGGCACGGCGGGCGCGCCGGAAGCGGCGGCGAGGGAAGGGCGGCCCGTCCGCTGCCTCCGCCCGCGGGGCCCCGCCGGACATGGAGCCGGGACGGGCCGCCTGGATGCTCCTGCTGCCGCTGCTGCCGCTGCTCCTGCTGCTGCCGGCCCTGCCCGCGGCCGCGCCGGGGGACTTCGACCCCTACCGCGTGCTGGGGGTCGGCCGCGGCTCCAGCCAGGCCGACATCAAGAAGGCCTACAAGCGGCTCGCCCGGGAATGGTACGTGCTGCCCCTTCCCACCCCCGCCCTGCAGCCCGGGCACGGCCCGGCGGGGATGCTGAGCTGCCTCGCCGGGTTGTGCAGCGCGGGTGAGGTCGGGAAGCAGCGCCGGGGCTCCCTCGCCATCCTGAAGCCGGGCAGGTGCCCCCGCGCCAGCGATCTGTGCTGTAAAACCCTCTCGAGGCTGGCTCTTGGGGGGAAAAGTTATCCCAGGATCAGGCTACAGGGGGGAAAGTTCTTCCAGAGGCTGGCTATGGAGGGAAAAGTTATCCCAGAGTCTGGCTATGGAGGGAAAAGTTATCCCAGAATCAGGCTACAGGGGGGAAAGTTCTTCCAGAGTCAGGCTATGGGGGGAAAAGTTCTACTGGAGTCTGACTACAGAGGGGAAAGTTCTTCCAGAATCTGGCTGTGGGGGGAAAATTCTCCCAGAGTCAGGCTTTGGAGGAAAATGTTCTCTTGGAGTCTGGCTATGGGGAAGAAAGTTCTTCTCGAGTCTGGTTACAAGGGGGAAAAGTTCTCCCAGAGTCCGGCTATGGGGATAAAAAGTTCTCCCTTACTCAACAGGGAACTTTTAATACACCAGGGTTTAAGTCTCAGCTTGATATGTCACCGTCCAAGGGCAACCCAATCCCCGTGCTGTGGGAGGGAAAGGCATCAGGTGCACAAATGTCACACCACTTGCATCCATGTGTGTGATGAGGGGCAGGCTTGAGGCATCGCCTGGGGAAAGAGCCTCACCCAGAGCTGTTGTCTTGCATGACACATCCCCAAGGGCTGTGGCAGGAGGTGATTTAAGGAAGAACCCAGTAGATGTGTGGGGCAGCAGCCAAGGGAGCCATTGCTAGGAAAGAGGCATGCTCCCTTGTCTTGGGCTGTTGGTGATGGATCAGACAGAGGCACAGGTCCACAGGCACACCACACACATCCCAGTGCTGCGTTTTGGGATGGGGTTTGGATAGGGACAGCATGTGCTGGGTATAAATCTGATCTCAGCCTCGGGGATACCACTGCACGTCGTAACTGTCCATGTTCTGCTCGCCTCCAAACAGAGGCCGACAGCTCCCCGTGCCCTCCAGGGAATCACTGACCCCTTTTCCTCTGGTTCTGCCTTGTAGGCACCCTGACAAAAACAAGGACCCAGGAGCAGAAGACAAATTCATCCAGATTAGCAAGGCCTACGAGGTAACACGTGCTGCTTATGAACTCCTGCTGTTGTTAACATTAAGAGAACTTATTTTTCCTGTGCTTTTCCTGTGTATTTCTACATGGGAAAGGTGATTGACCCTGTAGAGGTGGACGCTACCCACCCAAAAAGTTTGCTCAGCTTTGTTGACACAGGCACTGGAGTCACCAGCGTGGCCTCTGCTGCAAATATTTTGGTACAGGCCTGCCCTGTCCTGGCTAAAAAGCCTCAAAGGAGGGAGGAGAGAGTATTCACTGAGCCCTGCCTGGCTGGGCAGTGTCTTGTTCGTGTCACATGCACTTAAAAGCATTTTGGGGTGATGTAAGCAACATTAATCATCACAGGGCTTTGGTTACCTCAAATTATTCTCAGTAGTAGTTATTGACACATCGCTGTGGAAATTGGCCACCCCAGTTTGTGGCAGCCGAGCCCAAGGAAATAAAAGTAAATCCTTCTTTCCCTGCCAAAAAAAAATGCAGTTTCTCTATGGGGCTCCTGCCTTCTTGGTGACATTTTTGTCACTTTCTGATGTGCCAAGGAAACCGTCCAGGTTCAAAGAGACACCAGCAAAAGCTGCTCCAGAAAAGAGGGAATCCCAGCGTGGGATGTTTCATCCCAAGAAGCTGTTGGTGTCAGAAGTGGGTACAACAGTCTGGATTTAGGAGCTCCTTTTCTTTAAGCTTTGGCTTTTTTTTACCCCTATTTACCACAGTGAGCCTGGAGGGATGTGATAGTTCCCTTTTCCAGACTATTTTTCCCACATGGGAAATCCAAAGGGATTATGGTCAGGACAGTTCCCCCTCATGGTTTTTCCATCATCTACTTCCCAGATTCTCTCCAACGAGGAAAAGAGGGCAAACTTCGATCGCTATGGAGATGCTGGGGAGAGCCAGGGCTTCTCTCAGCACCAGCATCGCCAGTTCCATCGCTTCCACGACGGCTTCTATTTCGACGAGTCCTTCTTCCACTTCCCTTTCAATTCCGAGAGACGCGACACCTCTGACGAGAAGTATTTGCTCCACTTTTCCCACTACATCAATGAAATCGTGCCGGACAGTTTCAAGAAACCTTACCTCATCAAAATCACCTCGGACTGGTGCTTCAGCTGCATCCACATCGAGCCCGTGTGGAAGGAAGTCGCTCAGGAATTGGAGGCGCTGGGTAAGGATGAGGCTGTGTGCGCATCCAGCGTTGGCCTTCAGCTTTGCAGGACTCTGTTTAACCTTTAGATTTCCTCAGAGATTTATCCTAATGCTTTCCCAAACATGACTAACTCCGGGGTGCTGGGAAAGGGAGCAGGTGGTCAGTTTTCCACTGGGTTTGCTGGGGATCTTTCACCTGAAGCTGCTGCTCTCCTTTTCCAGGAGTGGGGATCGGCGTCGTGCACGCGGGGTACGAGCGGCGCCTCGCCCACCACCTGGGTGCCCACAGCACTCCCACCCTGCTGGGGCTCATTAACGGGAAAATAACCTTCTTCCACAACGCTGTCATTCGGGAAAACCTGCGGCAATTCGTGGAGAACCTTCTGCCAGGGAATCTTGTCGAAAAGGTACATTCCAGCAGGAGTGTCACATGCTGCTTCTCCTGCCTGCCTGGAGATTTCTCTCTCCTTGGCTGTTTTGGTGGCTCATCTGTTTAATTCGGGCCCTGAGCTGATCTGCATCACGAAGCTCCAAACCCTGGAGCTGTCGAAAGCTTTCACACCCCGTGGCTCCATAACTCTTCTCCTTGCAAAAGGGCTGATCCTGCCACTACATGGTCACACCAGGGGCTCGAGTGCCAACTGCCCCCCAGCTGTGACACCCCACAGCTGCCAGGACCCTACCAAGGTTATCCCTAGGTTAGGAACCTGCTGGATTTCACTTCCCTTCTCCTTTCTCAGCATTTCATCCAGCCAATTAAAGACCACTCACTAACTCCCAGGTGGTGTCTCCTAAAACGCACCGACCTGTTGTTTGTTTTGTCCGGTTTTGATTCGGACCTTTGAAAGTGGAGCTGGCAGCTTGAGCCCTTCCAAGTTATAAGTAAAATAATTTTTATCCTAACTGATAAAATATTCCTGCATTTCAGCCTTGCCCAGTGATTTTTGGTGGAGTCCTAAAGCACCCACCACTCCTTTCAGGGCGATGTGGCCGGGTCAGCCCCCACAGTGCACTCACCTGCCTGTCCCCTTCTTGCAGCCTTGTTCACCTCACCTTGTTTTCATTTGGGGTCTTCAGCAAGGGCTGCCTTTCCCAACAGATTTGACTTGTTGTCCTCTGGGTGTTGGAGTTCTCACCCCAAAAGTGGGATCTGTTTCCCCTTCCACAGTTAATGGAGCCATTTATCTCCTTCCTCTAGGTCAGAGAGGTACTAGAGCAGGTTTGATGAAGCTCAGGTTTGGTAGGTGCCTGTTAACCCTTGGCCTCCCATTAGATATAGATACAGATATATAAAGAATATGGTCCAAACAAACAGTTACAAGAATGACAGTGCCATCAGCATTGACTTGGAATGGCATTGACAGAGGCTGCAATAACTGAGAGAGTTGAGTGGGTCGAGAGTGATGGTTTTAATTCATTCATTAATCAGGAATACCTCTTGGAAAGACCAACTCACAGTCGGCTTTCTGCAACACTTGGACACCTTTTCAGGCTCAGTTCTCATTCAGACAGCTCATGGTGGAGCGTTGCCTGACTGCTCAGAGGTTAAACTGACTTTCCTGTTCTGTTTAAAGATTACAGATAAAAACTACATCCGCTTTCTCTCTGACTGGAGGAAGGACAACAAGCCCCACGTCCTGCTGTTCGATCACATGCCAGTTGTGCCATTACTATACAAGGTAAAGTGATTTCTGTCACTGCCAAGTTGACTTGTTTATAAATCCAGATGTTCCAAAAGAAAATGCACCATTGCTGTGACTAGAGGTCAACCAATGCCTCCAAACACCATTGGCTGGTTCTAGGAGAGCATGGTGATTTGTGTTCATCAGAAACAGCATGGCCAGGTGACCAGCTTTGTTAGGAGTCTGTTTCCCTGTCCTGACCTGGATGTACCTTACATGGATGTGAAGGTGTGGGTGGGTTTTGGAGGTAGCAGCAACACAGGTGCATACTGACCTTTGTTAGGAATGAGAGACGTTTGTGGCATGTCTCATTTGTGTTATTGCAAAGCCCTTTTCCTGAGAAACCCCATGTCAGACTGTAAATAAAACTGTGGATCCATGGAGGCTCCCAGCACATTGACTGAGAGAACTCAAAGCACGGTTCAGCAAGGGAGAGGAAGGGCTTGTACCTCTTTGCAGTACAAGCCCAATGACATTCAAACAGCAGGATGTATTCTCAGAGCAAAGTCATCACAGGCACTCAGGGGAGAAAACGTTCACTCTCCACCACCAACACACATTGTGGATTTCTCCCCATCCAGCTGACTGCCTTTGCCTACCGAGACTACCTGTCCTTTGGGTATGTGTACGTCGGGCTCCGAGGCACTGAAGAGTTGTCCAGTCAGTACAACATCAACGTCTACAGTCCCACCATGATGGTCTTCAAGGAGCACATCGACCGGCCCGCTGACATTGTGCAGGTACCGCTCAGAGCCCTCTCCAAGAGCTCATGGGAAACAGGCGTGGAGGTTTCCTGGCTGAGCTGGAGATGAGGGGTTTGTCACTGGTGTGTTTTGGGGTAAAGTGTGTTCGTTCTCAGCGTAAACTCTGGCTTCAGTAGACAAAGAGGGCAAATGTTTGGAGGGAGGAAGCTTGGCAGGCTCTAGTTTTGGTGTCTGACCTGTTAAGGAAGGTGGACACAGGTAGCTTCCCAGTCTTGGGGCCTCACAACACCTTGGGTGATTGCAGCAAGGACTGCGATGGCCAGCAGCCTTCCCCAGCTTCAGACAGGAACACCCAACAGCTTTATTCTCCTCACTTGCTCAGGTCTGACCTCTGCTTTCTTTGTCCTTGCCAGGCACGAGAGATGAAGAAGCAGCTCATTGATGACTTCCTTTCTCAGAATAAGTTCCTCATGGTGGCCAGACTCACCAACCAGAGGCTGTTCCAGGAGCTGTGTCCCGTCAAGAAGTCTCACCGACAGCGGAAGTAAGTGGCATGTCCTCCTGATTTGAGGCTCTGGAGCTGCTCCTAAAGCCACCTTTGGTTTGATTCTAAGGGAAAAGGGCAATGACTGCATTGGATCATGCTCAGTATCTATGGTGTCAGAGAGGTTTCTGCCTCATTGGGATGATTCTGACTAGCAGAAAGAGGGTGGTCATTTCCTCTTGTGTCCACAACGGCTCTTAATCCCCCATCTTGTTGTATCACCCAGGCACTGCGTGGTCTTGCTTACTGGAGAAGGAGAGAAGTTTGCTGAGGCTTATGAGGCCTTTTTGACTTTTGCTGTGGCCAACACAAAAGACACACTGAAGTTTGTGTACATCTATAACGAACGGCAGCCGGAATTTGCAGACGCCTTGCTGATGGATGATGAGAAGTATCGGGGAAGATCAGCTGTGAGGGTTTCCTTTTGTTTTTAATCCCTTCTTTTAGCCTGTCATTTAATTTACATCACTCTTGTACCTTGATCTGACACCTAATTCTGGGCAGTGGTTTGAAAGAGAACATCTATGTAGAAAAAAGCCCCTTCCTCTCTAACATCTGCCACGTTCTTGGCTCATCCAGGTGGTCATTCTGGAGAGGCGCAATAACGCGGGGAAGATTGCCTACAAAGCCTTGGAGGAGGCCTGGCAAGGCAGCAAGGAGGACAACTTCATCCTCCTGGATCTCCTGGACCAGCTGAGGACGGACCCTGGCCTTCTGTCATCAGAGACTGTCGTGGCAGACCTGAATGATGAGCTCGCTCCTGTAAGTCCGTGGCCTTTCCAGCTGTCTGATGTCTGTGTTATGGATGTGGACAGTCCCATTATGGCTGTTCACAGGCGTTATTTGTATTTTAAAATTCCAAGGCAAGACTCTTATAAGATTTCTTGCTCAAGGAAGGAAGCTCACTACCTGCTCTGAAGCTGATTTGGCCCAGGGTTGGGCTCATTTTCACAGGATAGGAGTCATGTTGGGGCTGTGCAGAATGGGTTTGTCATTTGTTTTTTGCTTTTCATTCTTTTCAAACAGGTGTTCGTTATCCGGTGGCTCTACTCCACGCTGGACTACATCTCAGACAGCTGGGACAGTTTGTTTCACAGTAACTGGTACAGTCTGGGCATCCATTGTGGGTTTTCACTGCTTCCCTGTCACCTTATTTTAAAATAGATCCATTTTTAGCTGCCTCTTTTGGGTGGGAGCAGGATAGCACTCAAAAACTTGATGGTCTTTAAGACCCTGAGAAACAAGCTGAGTTTCTGGGGAAAGCACGTGTTATTTGAGGTAGACAGGGACTGGAATTCAGGCAGAAAATGTGAACTTACAGGCCAGACTGCTCTTTGCACATCTTCCCCTCAGGCGAGAAATGATGCCGCTGCTGTCCTTGCTCTTCTCCGCGCTCTTCATTCTCTTTGGCACCGTTATTGTTCAGGCTTTCAGGTGAGTGCACACCAAAATGCCCTCGGGGGTGGCTCCTCAGTCCAACCCAGGGCCTTAAACACACACAAAATCACCTTCCTCCACAGTGATTCGAGCGACACAAGGGACTCTCAGCCCTCGGAGAAAGAAGAAACCGCCACAAAGACGGAAAAGAACGACGTGAGCTTCAGCAAAGAGAGTAACAGGTTCCCTCTAATTCCTCCAGAAGTATTTTCTGTGGAAACATTGCTCAGGGGGTGTCTGTGGAGGGAGAATTAGCGGAGAGCAGAGAAGTGCCAGAGTTGCACAGACATAATGCAGTTGTTGTGCAGAGCAGCACAGGCACAGCCAGGGGGGGAGGAGCGGTGTGAGCCAAGACCCAGCCAGCAAGGACAAGGGGACATTAATTTGGTTATTAAAGAATTCCCACCAAGTTTGCACCAGACAGTATGCTTGGGGAAAAGGTAAAGGTCTGACCCACTTGTTGAGGAAGATCCAAACTGGGCTGTTGTACCAGTTAAACTGGCTTTGGGCACAGGGATGGCTCGGGAACAGGCTGAGGAACACGGTCACAGTTTCTCTGTCCTCAGTCGCTCCTGGTCCCTTGCCCCCCTTTCACTCAGTCACTGCTTTGCTGCAGCAGGATTCCCAAAAAGGGCTTTGTTGAGGTGACTGAGCTGACGGACATCAACTACACCAGTAACTTGGTGCGCCTGAGGCCGGGCCACATGAACGTCGTCTTGATCCTGTCCAACTCGACCAAAACCCCCCTGCTCCAGAAGTTCGCCCTGGAAGTCTACACATTTACAGGGTAGGCTGGGGCCTCTCCTGGGTTTCTGTTATTGTGTTAACAACTTGTGTGAGGCAGCTCTGGCGACACAGGAGGAACAGGGTCGGCTCCATTGCCAAGAGGAAACATTTCTGGCGAGCAGCCTCTGTGCTCATCTGTGGCAATGAGCTGCCAAAAAATGAGTGGCCTTTCCTGGCCAGACTCGGTGATGGTGGCCACGTGGGTCTGGTGCTGCTGCCACTTTGGCTGTACCCATGTTTCATCAGATAGAGAGCACGACAGTGCTGCACACTGGGCAAGCGTCACCTGTGCTGGAAAAGGAGCTGCAGCAACACTGCTCTGCCCTGCCCTTGCTGACAAGTCCTTGCCTGTTCATAGGAATCCAGCCTTGCTCAGGACACATGCTAATCCCACTGTCTTCTCTGCTCTTTTCCCAGGAGCAGCTCTCTTCATTTCTCCTTCCTCAGCCTGGACAAGCACCGAGAGTGGCTGGAGTACCTGCTGGAGTTTGCACAGGATGCAGCCCCCATCCCAAACCAGTATGACAAGCATTTCCTGGAGCGCGACTACACGGGCTATGTCCTGGCTCTAAACGGCCACAAGAAATATTTCTGCCTCTTTAAGCCTCACAGATCAGGGGACGAGGGGGGAACCCTGGGGTCGTGCGAGGATTACGATGCCTCACTACACGCGGAAGCCAGAGGGAAACCCTCCTGCAGCCCAGGATCTAGATCCATTAAAAACAAATTACACAAATTGTCCTTCTGGATGGAACGCCTCCTGGAGGGTTCCTTACAGAGGTTCTACATCCCCTCGTGGCCCGCGTTAGACTGAGGGATTTTACAGAGATTCTAAGGGACAAACTTTTTATGAAGATGACAAAGGACAGCTCTTTCCAGGAATACACAAACAAGCGTGATGAATGGACCTTAGGTTTTAGATGAACCCTCCTGGGGCCGGAGACTAAAACATATCTCCCCACGTCCGGAGCCCGGGAGCGCAGCCAAGCACACCCACATGCCCTCCACTGACCCATCGTGCGCTTGGACGCCGTCCTACCGAAGAGCCAAGAAATCTGTTTTTCCCTTCTTGTCCCGCCACATCTGCTTCCCAAGTCACCCCTGTTCCATCTCTTGTTTTACCTCAGTTGAAGAAAAACCCTGTGACTTCTCTCAGCCCGCGGCCAGTGGTGCAGGTCGGGTCTCGGTTCTCTCTCTCCCTGTCCCCGTGTGCTTAGCCCATGGTGCAGTGCATGGTGTAACACTGGCAAGACCCTGCAGACCCTCCCAGGCCCTGCCCTTTCAAAAGGCCTCCTCCTGCCAGGCAGTTGTACTTCCTTGGCTTTCCCCGTGGTAAGTGATGTAGAGTCCGGTCAGGATCATCTCCCTTGTAGCAAATCTGTAGCTGGGACTCACCTGTGGTGCGGGCTCGTGGGTGATCTGCATGTTTCGTGCTCCTCGTGTCCTAGTTCCACGTGCAGCTTCACCGGCTGAACCGTAACTGGGAAGGAAAAGGGTTTTGCACGGCCGTAAATACTGTCGAAGTGTTGAGCCATTTAAATGTCACGTTGATTTTTCAGATGCCTTTTCTGCTTCTGTCGATTTTAGACGATGTATCCTAGAGCCATAACTTTACCTGCGTCCTCAGATTGTAGGCGTAAGCTGCTATGAGCCAGTAGATGTGTAAAAGAACCTCTACGTAGCTGCCAGGGAGTCACCTGGGCTCCTTGCAAACACCCTTCCAGCTGTAGTACAAACCAACCTTCCTTTGTATCAAGGAACCTCATCCTTCAACGATTGTATTCTTGAAATGTTGCCCCAGAAGTGCTGTATCATCAGACCGTCGCGTGTGTGTGAAGCTCCTTTTGGTTTAGGTGTGGGGTTGAGGTGTTGGGTTTCAGCCTCTCGCCCGTTTCCACCTCTTGCCCATTTCCTTCTTGCCCAAAACCTCTATTTTTCCACACTCAGGCTGCTGCCTTGGCTTTATGTTTGTTTGCTTGGATTTTTTTATTTTTTTTTGTCTTTTGGAAGTTGTAAGTCTGTGTGAGGCTAGAACAGGGTTTGGATGGTGCTTTGCTGTAGCAGTGCCCCAACAGCCACTTCCAACACTGCTGGGAAAGGGTGGCCCTGGATAAGGTGGAGGGAGGGCGAGCAGCAGCCTCATGGCTGCTTAACCTTCTAGCAATCAAGGGAGGCAGCAGGGCTTCTCGTTGTGGCCAGGACTGAAATCCTGTGAGGCTTGTGCTTCCCTTTCGCTGCTCTGGGGCCGATGCTGTCACCCAAGTCTCCTTCCATGGATCCCGTCACCGTCAGGCTCCAGCACTGCCAAAGTGCAAGGATGGGAGCAGGTGGCCTTTGCCACAGGGCTCTGAACCTGACACAGAGCCCTCAGAGCACATGGTGTTAATTCCAAACTCAGCCCTTGCCACCTTAGTGACCATCTTAGCAGAGCAGCCAGTCAGTAGGAATACGTGCCAACCTCTGAGCCAGCTGCCGATCCCATGGGAAGATGGGAATGCTCGTCATTGCACTGCCTACATGCCCTAGTTGCTCCCAAAGCCTTGCCTCACTGCATTCCTCCCATCCTGGGAGCAGACTGGTGTGCTCTGAACCCTGCAGGTACCTCAGACCCCTGTAAAATGTACTTCAGATAAAGGCTACCAACTAACCCTATGTGAGGTTAATTAATTCCAGCCCGGCAGACTCTGTGCCCCAGAAAGTAGAGGGAAGGAAGGAAGGAAGGAAGGCGAGGTCTTCTCCCTGCCCAGGAACTCTGAGGTGCACAAAAACTGCTGAAGGAGAGCAGAGGGGGAACAAAACACCAGCCTGATGCTTCTAGACTTCATTTTCACTTGGCTGGAGCGATTGCTGTCTACTCCTGTGCTTTTCCCATGCAGGATGTGGCTGGAATATGTTTTAGCCCACCAGAAGGCTCCACATAACTTCTTCAACATTTGCAAAAGCAAAAGAATATTCTCTGGGTCTCTGCTATCTCTTCATCTGGTCAGAATCCAGTAGAAAAGCCTCAATCCATGAAAAAAAGTGCCTAGTTGTGCTACAGCAAGGGAATTCAGCCCTGCCCCGAGGAAAGAGAGAAGGCTTTACAGCCTTCAAATTCTGCCAGAGTCCTTTTTTATTTTCTTTTTAGCACAGGTAACCTCCCCTTTCAGCCAGAGTCGAGTTGAAGGAGCGCTTGCAGCAGTCCACCTTGCTGGGTTTGGCTGGATGGGAGCACAGCCCCTGGTTTCTGTTTTATGGAAACCCTTTTTCCTGGGTTGAAGCGAATGCCAAGCTGCTCTAACCCCTGGTTTAGTAGGTTTTAGTGCCAGCGTGGCGCTCCAGGTATTTGCTGTCTTGGAGAGCAGGGTCAGAGCTGCTCATCCCGGGATCTGCCCCTGCTCTCCCAGCAGCCATGAGCCCTCACCCCCCATCATTTTCTAACCCTTGTGATTCTGTTCCATGCGTGGTGGTTCATAATCCAAAGATTGAGGAAATTTGGTCCTAGTGCACTGTCCTAGTGAGACCCGAGCGATGGCACAGCGCTCGGGGCTGAGGCGAAGGGACACAGGCCCCAGAGTGGAGGTTGTTCCCAAACTCCTCCCTCCCCCTGTCTCTGCCCTTCACCCACAGCAGCCAGGAGCCAGGACACGAGCGCAGCTTGACAAGTAGGACTGAAAACTAGGTACCTATTTTGCACTTTTGATACTGGGAGGGGGGGAATTAACTTATTTGGCAAACTTGTCTTTTTATTTTTTTGTTTTGTTTTGTTTTGTTTTTTGTTTTGTTTTGATTTTGGTTTTGTATTTGTGAACAGGCACTTATGTCATTTTGTTTTAAGACAATTACAGGTTCGCAACCAAAATAAACTTATTTTAATGTGTGATGAGGTGGCTTTGTGTTTCCATGTACAAACTAACCTCACCTCCACGTCGGCTCAGAAATTCCAGGAGTGATTAAACCACTCCTGCCATAGGAAACTCCTGGTTATTCCACCAGCAGGAACTTCAGTCAAACATCCCCCTATGCTCAGCAGGATCCCCAGATGCCCTTTGCTGCCCTCCCTTCCTCTATAGTCATTGTCTTGCTGCCACATCCTAATGGAAGAAACCCTTTACCAGTGAGTTTTGCCAGGAGTCCTGTAAGCTGGGTGAGTAATTGCAGAGGCCAAACACTATTAGCCTCATCTGTCCCTTTACCAGACCAATTTCAAAGCTCCAGACCCCAGTTAAATGGGGTGTCCAAACCCATCTGCTCCCTACAGCTTCTTGGCTTAAAATTACCTTTACTAGTGGAAAATGGCATTTATTCTGTGCTGCAAAGCCCACATTGGCTGCAGCTGGATGAGGGGAAAGGGACATGGAAAGCCTGGCTGGGGACGTGGAGCAGAGTTGTCCTGGAGCAGGCAGGAACTACCCTCACAGTGTCCTCACTCCTGGGAGAACACACAGCATCTCAAACAGTAGGTTTGCACCCAGGAGGGCTGTGTTACCTAAAAAAAGACAAAACAAGGGAAAAAAAAATCCATGAATATCCAATGGCTTTCACTCGTGGCTGCCTCTGCCAGGCACATGTTTTACTCTAGAGATCTTCAGACTCACCAGAGACGTCGTACATTGGTGCGACTTCCACAAGGTCACACCCCACTATGTTCAGGCCTTTGCAGCCACGAATAATCTCCAAAGCCTAGGAAAAAAATGGATTTGGGATCAAGAAACATCTGACCTGGTGGAGCAGTCAGGGCTCTGCTTTCCCCATTTTCATATAAGGAAACCCAACCTCTACAGACCAAATCTCATCAGTTCCACACTTCCCTTCCTCACCAACACAAGGAAACGCTCCCAGGCCTTCCTTAGCCTTCGCTTTGCTGTGCTGGTGGCATGACCTGGGAGCAAAAACATGCCTTTCCCAGTGGGAAATGCAGCTGCATTCCCTGGAGTCCCCTTACCTGTGCAGGTGTGAGCCCAGCTATCTCCGGGGTCCCGGTGCCCGGGGCATACGCGGGGTCTAATCCATCGATATCGAAGCTGATGTACGTGGGCTTGTCCCCCATCTGTGCCCTCACCTCCCCCATCAGCGGCTCCAGGGACTTCATCCAGCACTCCTCAGCTGGGACAACCCGGAAACCCTGCAGGAACACAGACACACGGGCACCTGCTCAGGGAAAGGAGGGAAAAGAGGAGCATCCCCTGCACCGCTGGGGATTTCTGGTGGGATCAACCCTCACCCCAGGGCCGAGCTGCAGAGGTGCTCCTGGAAGCACCTGCCACTCCCTCTCCACATTTTTTTACTCCCTACCCAGCCATTGACGTGGGACAAGATGCAAAAAATGCATGTATTTTATTTATGCATTTTTAATATATATATTTATATATACTTTTTAATATATATTTACTATATATTTATATCAAATATATTTATATATTTACATATTATATTTATATATTACACTTGTATAATATATAAATTTTAAATTATACAAAAATTATAAGTACAAATTTCTGGATATTATTATAAATATATAGCATTTATAATCATAGCATAAATTATAAATATATGGCATATAAATATATATTTAATATACTTACTATATTTATATATTTATAATGCTATATTATACAGCATTATAAATATACAGCATATAAAATATATAGATTATATAAAATTATAATTAATACATATAATATATATTTATTACATATTATTATACTATATTATTTAAATGCATCTGTTTTTTTATCATTTATTATATCCCTGCTGACGGCAAGGAACATTAACGACCGGGGCCTATTCATGGCAGGGAGAGCAGGCAGCGCCCGGCAGTGGATCCCCTCACCTGTTGCCGGCTGTACTCGTAGGGTCGTAGGAGGAGCCTCGGATGCCGATCTGCACCACGCGGCTGCAGTCCAGCAGCCCCTCCTCGACACAGCGCCGGAACGGGGTCCCGTGGTAGATCTTCTCCCCCAGGGCCGTGTCCGCGGTGTCCGTGTGAGCATCCACGTGCACCAGGCCCACGGGACCGTGTCTACTCCAGACAGGGTGGACGCGTTAGTCCCCACCCTGTGCACAATGGCCCTGCCCACCGCGTGGAGAGCAAACCAGGGGCATTCCTGAGGCGCTTCCCAGGTCCTTATTTTACACCTCCAGGTTAAAAACTTACTTTGCTGCCAGGGCCTGCAGGATTGGGTATGTTATGGTGTGCTCTCCACCTGCAGCAGAACAGGGAAGAGGGGGTAACACACTGCAAGAGCTGGTCAGCACTCATTACCTTTGTTCACAGGTATTTTTTTCCCTCCTTGCATTTATCCTGCATTTATTTATACACTCCAGAGCTTTATTCCCGAAGGAAAACCTGAGGCTCCTGAGTGCAGGTTGTTTCCTCTCTCCTCTTTCCTCCTGGGGAGGACCAGAGATGCAGGACTGCCAGCAGGGACAGCCAGTGGAGCAGGACCCTTAACTGGGCTTATAAATAGACACATGATCCATTTCTGAGGATGCTGTAACTGGTGATTTGCCCCTCGTTACTCTACACATTCTCTTCCTTTAGCAATGCCAAGCTGTGACAGCTGCAAACTTGAACATGTGGCCAAATGAGGCCTCATGCAAAGCCAGGCACGCCCACAGCTGGATGAACACAAGGGATGTGTCCTGGTCTGGTTCTGCAGGACACCAAAAACACGTTACTGACTGTATTTACAGACTGACCCATCCTCATCATTTTTGACCTAGAAGGGGCATCAAAGAACAGTCAGTCCAGCAGAGAGCCCGTGCATTTACCCACGACACAGCACAACGCCCTGTGCAGGGGATGGATGCATCACTCACCCTCTGCTGTGTTGGGATTGAATGATGGGAGGGAGGAGGAAGAGGAGGAGTTTGGCTGAGCAGGTGGACACATGGTCCTTACCCAAGGTGAGGGGCACACAGCCAGAGGCCACGATCTCCTGGTAGGACTCTCGGATGAGGCGGCAGCTGTCGGGCAGGTTGTAAAGGTTCACGTTCACGTCCCCGATGTCAGCGACCCGCAGGGAGTCGAAAGGCGCAGCCCCGGTGCTGCTGTTGTACCTCCTCACCATGGCTGACTCCGCGCGGATCTGACGTGGGCCGAACCTGGGGAATGGCGCAGCTGGAAAAGCCACCGGGCAGAGTTCCCAGCACTCCTCTCAGCAGAGGAGAGCTGTGCCAGAGTGAAGGACCAGCTCCCCACGGCTCACCCTTACCTGGCTCCCGGCCGGTTGGATGTACCTGTATCCAGCGGGACACCGACAAACGCCGCGTCCAGTCCCTGCGCCGACGCCTGCACGGGGAGTCTCATCATGGAGCAGACCCCCACGGGCCGGGCCACGAGCAGGGCACTGGGGGGCACGTTGAACTGTGAGCCCCAGCAGCAAGGGGCCCTGCTCCCCGGGATCGGGGGCTGGAGGAACCCCTTGGACGCACTGGGTGAGGAGCTGGAGGCAGCCAGAGGAGCCCGGAGCCACGGGCTGCAGTGTGAGGCAGCCACTGCAGTGGTCACAGTCAGCTTGCGAGTGCAGGGCCCAGCTTGCCAGGGCAGCAGCTGGAAGCAGCCAGCCCGGAGCAGGTGCCTCATCCTGCTCCACAGACTCCCACCCTCTCTCCCACAGGGAACACAGCAAGAGGTGCTGTGGAGCCGGTTCCGTCTCCACTCGAGTGTCAGGGGTGGGCAGAGAGCCAGCAGCCTCCGCCAAGCCTCCTTCCAGGGTTCAAAGTGCAGTGGGACACCCCACTGTCCGGGGAAGGGCAGAGATCCAGCCCAGCCACCCCCTTTCCAATGGCACAGTCCTGGCAAACACCAGGAGCAAACACGGCAGCGAGAGGCTTTGGCTTGAGTGCCTCCACCAAGAGCCTGTGCAGGGATTAGCGGGACAGGGCAGGAGGGGACGCACTGGGAAATGTCCCAGTTTGCTCCCCTCGGGCATTCACAGACAGCATGGCAGCATTTGTAGCATTGACAGCTTGTACTTTTAACCTGCACCTCACAAAAGCACCCAGAATGCTGAAGAATCATGAAAACGGAAGGCAGGAGGGAAAGAAAACAAAAGGAAAGTCCGAGCTCAGCAGAACCATAGGCGGACAAAATGCAAGCACAGGGGAAGCATTAACAGGGATTTAAGGACCAGAGGGACAAGCTATGGGACAAGCATTTTAGGCTCTTTTTGAGGACAGAGATGAAATGATTGCCAGGGCAAGCAAGTTTCCAGTGTCTGGAGTTGACCAGCACAGATTAAACCCTGGCTGGACAAATACCAACATGCTTGAAACCAGATGGCTCCAGCTCCTAATTCTGCTCCCCACTCATGTAGAAACTAGACTTGGGAAAGGCATGGGAATGATGTTCACAGCAGAAAGAGGGCTCAGAGCATAGA